ATCCGGAACGGCCCTCAAGAACCAAATATATAATTGAAAAGTTAAAATCAGATAAATTGTACGACAAATGTCTGAAATTGGATACAAGATATGCCACCGAAGATGAATTAAGTTTAGTTCACAGCAAAGAATACATTGAAATCATAAAATCAACTGAAAAATTATCGGAGAAGGAGTTGAGAAAGTTATCGAATACATACGATTCCGTGTATTTGACTCGAGAGACATACAGTGCGGCTAAACTGGCCGTCGGTAATGTCCTTCAAGTGGTCGATTCGGTTCTCACAGACCAATGCCTCAATGGCTTTGCATGCGTTAGTAAACTGAATAATAATTAAAAACATACCCATATATTATAGTATATACTGTAACTTAATGTGACGTTTAGGTTAGACCTCCCGGTCATCACTCCAGCCGCACGAAAGCGTCGGGATTTTGTTGCTTTAATAATGTCTCGATTGCTGCCAAATATGCGATCAACAAATATAATAAGAAACGAATTCTTATACTCGATTGGGACGTACATCACGGCGACGGTAGGGATCAGCTCTTATCTCATTAATTAAATCATATATCGATTCTTAAAGTATTTATAAATAATAAAATGTTTGTACTTAACTAAAGGAACCCAAAAAATATTTGCAAACGAAGACAAAGTGCTGTACATATCTCTACACAGATATGATTTCGGAGACTATTTCCCGCAATCGATTCAATCAAACTATAATATTGGCAAAAATGTAGTCAACATTCCGTGGAATGGCGGGCCTATGACTGACTCCGAGTATATGTTGGCCTTCTTTAATGTGATTCTTCCGATTGCCTACGATTTCAATCCCGATCTGGTGTTCATTAGCGCCGGATTTGATGCCGCATTGAGTGAGCTCTATATCTGATTAGTTGAATTGAATTAATGAGTGATTTACCATTGGATCAGATGACCCGTTGGGCGAATACCAACTGTCACCGCAAGTGTACGGACACATGACTCACATGTTGTCTCGTTTAGCTAATGGCAAACTAATCATGTGCTTAGAAGTGAGTCTTTAATTGAATAGTATATGAAATTGTGATTAATTTGCAAATAATGCTCTTAAGGGTGGATACAATTTGATATCCAATGGATTGTGTGCTTCTGAATGTGTTTCTGTACTTTTGGGCAAATGTCCGGAATCTCTGCCATTGAAACAATATAACGGATCTGCGATCGAAACACTCAAATGCGTGATTGGCTTTCAATCAACGAATTGGCCAAACCTTAAGTTTGACTTTGATTTACCCGAAAGTCTTATTTGAGTCCAATTTTCTAAGTTTTAGAATATAAGAGATTTTTAAACACAATATTTTACAAACTTTTTTATAAGCTCTTTATTTTTATAAACATTTAGCAAA